ATTGTCTTCCACAGGGTACAGGGTGCCCTAACTACAATTCCATGCAGCCTGAATGGGAGCAATTAAGTCTGGAGGCAGAGCTCTCCATTCCCAGCAGCTGGGTTTGGTGCTTGAGTCCTGGAACACCAAAAGAAAAGAAATTAAGAAAGGAGAAATCTGAATTAATCCTCTTGTCTCAAAAAATCTTGGGCAGACCCCAAAGGGGAGAAGAAACAGAGCAGCTCCTGCTCCTGTGAGACATGAAAACCTTCTGTTGTTTTTTCGTTCCAGGGCTGGTTTTTAACAGAGACATGAGAGTCCGTACGGTGAGCATTGCTCTTCTGATGTGCCCCCTGCTGCTTCTGAGTTCTGAGCTTATAGAAAACTCAGCTGTAGTGGAGGTCCACTCCCTGCTTCCACTCAGCTGGTGACTTTCTGCATCTCTAATTCCTGCCTCTCTTTTAAATGCTGCTGTTAAAAGAGCCTCAAACATTGACTCAGCTTACAGAGTCACTGGAAAATGTTACTGATTTTTTTTTTTCCTAGCAGTTCCTCTGCCCCAGGGCCTCATGGCCACATTTTCCTGCCGTTATAACTCTTCAGGCAGCAGCTGGATGGATGCTTTCTGTCAGCTTGTCAGGTCACCCATGGAAGAGGGGAGAGTGTGGAGCAAAGTCGGCATGTTTGATGTTTTGATAGCTTTGTGCCGCTTTTGAGCGAGCAGGGCCTCCTCTACCTGTGCCATTGCCAGGGTATGAAAGCCAGAGTAGTGTACTGTCTCCTTTTTAGTAAAGGGATTTTTAAAGCTTTTCTCTGGTATGAGATCATTCCCATATGTGCTGCATCCCAGCAGGCAGTGTTGCTGGCAGCCCTGAAATGCAGCTGGACAGAAGGAACCTTTGCAGAGCCAGCTACTCTTGTGCACGGCCTAGCTGCCTGTCATGTCCCAGCATGGAAGCTTTGGGGCCATAGCCACTTCTGCCTTGAGGGCCACTAGTGCAGCAGGGGTCAGGTACACTCCCTGTTCCCAGCTGCTGTCCCTGACCTTTGCTGCTCTCCCTGTCTTTGCATCTGCAGCAGAGTCGAGAGTCCTTCACAGTGGAGCAGTGTGTAAAGCTCCTGCAGAAGATCCAGGACCGTGTGCTCATCATTGTGTGAGTGAGGCACAAGCCAAACCAACCCTTGCTGCCCCCCTGCAGCCCTGGCTGGAGGGAGTAAAGGTTAGAAAGGAGCCCTCAGGTAACCCCTCCTCTGCAGCAGCCACCCAGACCTTTGGGCCAGTTGGCACAACAGCACAGCCTCAAATGTGAAGCATTTCCGAGTTCCTTACCACTGCCCCAGGCTGGGCAGGCTCCTAGAGCAGGCAGAGAGCACCTAGAACATCTTCCTTCTGGCCTAGGCTGTGCTTTCAGGCTGGGTCTCCCTGGTGCAAGGCTGACTGAGGAAATGCCAGTCCTGTCATGTCCTCCTGCCTTCATGCTCCCAATCCCGTAACTTTCCATCCCTTGGCCCTACAGGAAGGGGCTATCCTGGCAAACCTGTGACACTCCACACTGTTCCTACTTGCTTTCCTCCTGGCCCACCCAGCTCTTCCCCAGGTCACAGCACCCCAGCCTGCCCCCTTCTCCAGACCCAGAAACCTCTTGCCCAAGCAAACAGGTAAAATCAGTCAGCTTCTACCTCCTCCAGCTGGTCCTAGAGCCCCTGGCCAGACCCAGCTCCTGCAAGCTTTCCTCTTGGGTGTCCAGGGCCAGGAGAAAAGCTGTAGAAGGTAGCCAGTGGTTTGCACAGAACCCCACAAGCTGTTGAGCTGTCTGGGTGGGTAGCTGGTTCTATCCTCTGCATCTGCCCTTGGAGGGCAAGATGTGCAGGGCCCTGGCTGCCTTGGTCTGTGTTGTGCCATTAAAAGACTCTTCTCTAGGAAATAAGAGGGAGTGCTAGAAGTTGGGAAATGAAGAGCAGTTTTGGCATCCCTGGTCTGCTGAAATCATAAACTCTTAAGGATATTCCAGCTTATCCAGAAATACAACATCATAGTGAGGACAAGTCCTCTAGGCCATACAGAGTACATGCCTTTGTGCCTGGGATGTCATCTTGTCCCATCACCTGCCGTGGAGTAGGAGATAGCATGATCGTAACTCTGCAGGAGGTCTAATGCTGGCTTTTCCAGGAGGACTGCCCTGGTACTTCCCTCTCCAAGTGGGGCACACCCAGTTTAAAACAGTAGCGTGGAAGGGAGAAAGGGACGGAGGTGAGATGTAGAGGCTGTATGGAGGGGAAAAGGCAGAAGACATGGTGGGGGTAAGGAATGACGTATTACGAGACAGCACTTGGAGGGGAGCAATATCTAACCAGTCTCCACTCTGATACCACCAGGCAATCACCTAAGGTTTTGAACAGATAGTTTGACAGAAAATAGCTGCCCCTCCGACTGCCATGTATGACCCTCTATCCCTGCTGTTTAAAAGCAGCTTAGAAAGAGCAGTTGTCACCTCCCTGTCCTGGGGACAAAAGCTTCTGCCCAAGACAGTAGCAAAGACAAATGGAGACACACTATGTGCTGTACTGAGCCTTGCTGTGGCTTTTCAGAGCACAAGATGGACTCTTGGTACCGTACAAGCTGGACACCAGAAATCACTTTGTGAAAGACCTACGGAAGGCATTTGAGTCTACCCTGAAAGAGGTGGGAGCAAACTTCATCCTTGCATCTCTACTGTATAGGTCCCCAACCTGGGAGCAGCAGCTCACCTTGATGGCCAGCCCCAGTGGGCACCCCCCACTAGGTAATTTGTCCCAAATAGCACAGCCCTCACACTGTGGGGAAGCCAACTTGACCTTTGCTGCCGGAGTCCCAAGTTATTACTGCACTCTAGACCCAGCTTTTCCCTAGTCCAGTCATCCCAGCCCTGTTCTGCCTTCCCCCTGCCCCACAGCTTGTGTGAGGGAATGCTTTTCTGGTTCACATCTTGCATCCTTTCTTTCCAGCACATTCAGCTAATAGAGGTACCTGGGAGTCATTTTGTGCACCTGAACAAGCCTGAGGTGGTGTCTGGGATCATCAGCAAGTTCCTGACAGCGCGGAACACCAGAGCAAGGCTCTAGGAAGCCCTCACTGCTGCAGCAGGCAAGGAGAACGTGGAGCTAAAAAGCAGGCTCTGGAGGAATTGTCACCATTCTTACCTCACATCCAACATCAGTTTCATGATACTCTTTCCTAACCTTGGCTCACTGCAGAGTGGAAGCAGGTCTGCCAGGGGCTCCCTGAAGGAAAGCTGAGCAAAGTACCTCAGTTTATCAAAGGCAAAATGAATCCTTCCAGCTCTGAAAGTACAGGAATAGAAGCTCAGAGTGGCCTTTCCCTTGCTTCCTCCCAGCTTGCACCCTGAAATAAAACAAGAATACAGGCAGAGGCATCTTCTGTAGGAGCAGCAGCACCAGCTGTAGCTCAGTAGGAGTGGCTCCTCTTACTTCCTCCCTTAGGATGGTACAACCACTCTTATCCTAGAATTAGAGCTACTGGGAAAACAGGAATGTATTCTGCTTTTCTGCTTACTTCAGTGGATGCCTTAGCGCAAAGGACCTTCATGTCTCCCTTTTACTGTGAGACTTGTAGAAAAATGTCAATTTTAAAAAACAGCTTAAATAAGAGCTCACCTGAGCACAGAAGGCCATTTTAATGAACTCGTAGGGAATGAGTCACTAATCCTTTATCTGAAGCAGCAGGGAGAATTACCAGTAATGGAAAAGTTGGCAGAGATTATTTCTGTCCTTCTAAATAAAGATTAATTTCCTAATGTTAACCCTGTCTTCTTGACTCTAGAGGAGAATCCTTTCTTTTGGGATGTTTGCCCAAGCAGCTAAAACACTGATCTTGGAAGCAGTGATTTTTACATGCAGTCTGCTTTAGTTGAGGCACAATTGGGATCCATCTGCCTTCTAGTTAAGTTGATGCAAAAAGCCAACTGAAGCAAGCAGGCCTGGCAGTCTCCCCATGCAATGGAAACTGCATTGGCAGTGGGTTTTCCAGGGGAGGGTAAATGCATTTTAACCCACCTCAGTGGAAATTCCCAGTATTTCCACCTTACATTCATGGCTACACCCATATGGAGGCTGCAGGGCAATAACGGGCCCTTTCTGATCAAAGTGCACAGGGGTAGGCCATCATTAAGTCCAAAGCTGCACAAAGGTTCTGCGGGCAGTGCAAAAGCACTGCCCCACAGCTAGATGTGCCTGTTGACATCCTTACCTCCCTCCTGTTGGCTGACAACAGGTTAAGAGAAAACAGGCCATGAAAAGTCTGGTTGCCCCCTCCAAAGGCAGGCTGCCAGCTCACCTTGTTCTAGTGACAGCGCTGAACACCAGGAACTCCCAGAGCCCAGGCTAGATAGGGCTGTAGGGGTCCACTCACAGCCGTAAGACTGAGCACCTCAGCACCTGGCTGCAAGAAAAACACTAAGGGAAGGGGGAGGACTCTGTACCAAACCACCTTCCTTGTGACGAGAGGTCTGGGAACTTCCCAGATGGGCTTTTCCAAAGGTCACTTCCCTTCATTTCTAACTCGCCCCCAGATAAAATGTGCAAAGGAGCACCAGCATACAAGCCATGACTTTTATTGCCACCCCAGCATACAAGAAGCTCCAGGTCTCCCCACGCAGACCAAAGGGGAGAGAGAGGCATCCCCACATTCTGAGAACATAGCAGCAGTTTATTTACAGTTCTTCAGCCATTCCTGCCCCTAAAGAGGCTGTGCTGGGTCAATCCCACCTCTCACCAAGCTAGAAGAGGGCCTTGGGCAGCAGGGAAATACAAGTTGTCACAGGAAAGGCCTCAGCCCCTTGGCCTGAGCACCCTGGGAAGTGATGCCACAGGGCCAAATGATGGCCAGGAGAGCAGAATTCCATTGCAAGAAACTTCTCCTTCAGCAACAGTTGCTGGGATCTCCCATTTCAGATCCAAGGGCAGGGACAATCTGAAGATGCCTCAGTTCCTTGAAATCCTTTGGGATACGGAGTCCATAGGAACCTCTCCAGCCCAGGCACGCAAGGAATAGCTCAGCACAGCTTAGTATGGCCGAAACTTGCGCTGGGCTCGCATCAACGCGATCCTCTGCTTGTCCTCCTCAAATTTCTTCCTCAACTGGGCAATGTCTAAAAGAGACAGAAAGAGAACATGTCACATGGGAGCAGCAGATCTCCCTCCCCTGGGGAGCTTCACTTCCACACGCCAGGCGGGGCTCAGTCCTGACGCACACTTCCCAGAGCAGGTACTTTTGCGCCTGGGCCAAGTGTCAAGCGGGAAATCTGGCAGTGCTGTAGCTCCCTCTTGGGGAAGAAAATGGCTACTGTTCCCTCTGAATTGCTGCTTCTGCGCAGGCTGAAGAGACATCTATTGGAAAGCCAGGATCTGTGCACTCTCCCACGAAATATTGCAGCAGCCCTTTCTAGAAGAGATGGTGGCAAGAGGCCCCAAGAGCTGGCGAGGCTATCTGCACAACCACCCAGCACTGTTCACCTGCAGATGGATACAAGTGACGGACTCTCCACTGACAGACAAATGACCATGATGCAAGGGACAAGAGCCACAGGGAGGGGGCAGAGAAGGCTCGGACACTCACGTTCTCTCTTGGTCTCACGATGCTGCCAGGCATAGAAGTTGAGCAGCTCTTTGCGGGCCCTTTTCTGTTTCTCCCTCTCCAGCAGGCGCAGGTTGGCCGCCTCTGTCCGGGGCAGACCAGGCTTCCGGCCCCTCCGTGTTACCTTCACCCAGCCCTCCTCATCCGGAACGCCCTCCTCCTTGGCTGCTTTGGCTTCTTCCTGTAAAGACAGGAGGGTGGGACAGCTTAGTGCAGATGCGCTGACAGCCAGCCTGATGCATGGCTCCCCGACATGGAGCTACAGCTCCTGCTTCTGCACATGATTTGAGTGCAGGCATGGAACCAAGAGCAGGCATTCAACTATCAGTCAGAACACTGTACACAAGCCAGGACCCAGTTTATTTGTGGATATGTATTGTAAGGCCTGGATGGAAGGGTCAGGTGTTGTGGACCAAACCAGGACCTAACTGCCCACCGGCAACTGGGAGTAAAAAAACCCTGCCGACCAGCATGTTTCCCACCACCCTTCTCACTGAGACCAGGACACTGAGAGATCTTTCCTCTTCCTTTCCTCTCCCCAAATAAACTGCTTAGCTGGGTCTCCTCCCCAGCCTGGCCTCACCTCTTCTATCTTTTTGTCATAGTCTTGCATGTAGGCATCCACCTCAGCCTTCAGCTCCTCCTGATCCACAACTGAAGCCGCATAGCTGGCGATCCACTCTGAGGAAGAGGGCAGAAGTCAGCTATAGCCTCTGCTAGAATCAAGCCCTGGTCTGATGCCTTTGGGCAGCTCTAGAGAGAATTGCTGTGGAGAAGGAAACGCTCTTCTCATTCTGTTCAGCCTCCCCACACCACAGCTCAACCAACTTGTGCCCCAGGCCACAAGCAGAAAGTGACAGGAAGAGCTTGCAACCTTCCTGAGCAGGAGCAGGCTAGCATTAAGTCCAAGAGGTGCAGCACTGAGGGCTGCATTCCTGTCAAGTGATCACACCTGAACTGCTGTCACCCTGACACACATCAGGGTGTCAGCACTCAGTAACAGGTGTCCATTATTGAGTCAGATTCTGTTTTGAGTGTAAGACACGGAGAGTTTGTCTGAATTTATGCAGTATTGAAAAGATGTTGGAAAAAACTGCCCTTCCGTTATACCAAGCAACTCCCTTCTCCCATATGGTCACAGGACCAGGCTACAACATCCTATACAAGACTGTGAATAATAAAAGCAGGGCAGTGAATCACTTGACACCTTCCAGCTCACTACAAAATGGTGAGAATTAATCTGGGACATGCAGAGTAGGATTCAGGAAGGAATAAGCATAGTTATTCCCCAGCACTAGCTAGCAGGAAGATAGCCAGGGCTGACTTACTCCTAATGCCAGTTTTCACAGGGTGACTCTCTGCTGAGATCAGCAAGGGACCTTCCTTCGACAGAGCCTTGGCTGCCTGGACGCCAGCTGGTTTCTTGAACACCACATACGCCACTCGAAATCCCTGAAAGCAGAAGATATCTATGCCAGTCAAGATACACCACAGAAACTGGTGACGCTGCAAAGAGCTGCACTACAAACATAATAAGAAGCAAACCTCAAGTTGCAGCGGGACAGCAAAAAGAGATAATGCAAACTTAAATAAGTAATCACATCACCCAGCGCCCCCAAATGGTTTCCCGTCTCACGTTTCAAATCGTACCCTCCAGTGCTTGTGATCTTTCCCCATTCTAACCATCAGGATTCCCCTCCCCACCGAGCTTTACCGTTACAGTTTTGCAGTTGAAGAACTTGGAGTTCAGTTTCTCTTTTTTCTCCCCGGGCCCTGGCTTGTCACACATGTCCACAGACTGGACATGCCCGCAGCGGTTGAACAGCCTGGACAGAGAGTCCTTGATAAGGAGAACGAGAGAAAAGAAGCGCTACAGAAAAGCAGAGGCAATTTCTCTCCCCACTCCCTCAAGGCTGCTCGGCATGGCCCGAGCCCCTCAGCCCACCGCCACCCCGGGCTCATGAGGCGATGCCCGCAGCCTTCAGTCCCCCCCCACCGGTAAGGCGCCCCCGCCCCTCCCGAGGCCAGCCCCACTCACCGGGGTGCAGTACGGGGGCACGTTGAGGACGAAGAGGGTGCGGTGAGGGGGGTGCGTGGTGCCGGCGCCTTCCCGCAGCTGGTGCTCCTTCACCAACAAATAGTGGGGAGAGCGCTGCCGCTCACCGAACTTCACCGCCAGAGCTGCGAGCCACGCACCGGTTAAAGACCCCGCTGCCGCCCGGACCCCGCTCCCGCTCCCTCCCTGCTACCCCGGGCCCTCTCACCCGTGTAGCCGGCCGGCGCCTCTCCCACCACACGTTCCACGGCGGCCGCCATCTTAGCTCGGCGGGAAGCGGCGTGGCGCGGGGGCCGCCGGGAGTTGTAGTTCCCCGCGGCGGCGCGGGGCTGCTAATGGCTGCGGAGGGACCCGACCTCGGCGCCGAGGTGGAGTTCAACCAGCAAGTTTCCCCATCCAGAGCATCACCCTCTGCAAGAAAAGCTTGTTACACCCAGCATTTAGTGTAACGGTTCTGAAAACGAGGACCTGAATTGCATAAAACAGGCACTGTGCTTAATCATACAGAGGCAAATAAAGGAAACTTAAATATACATAAAAACATTCAGAGATAATTGTAAAAACAACTGGTTTTAAAGACTTGTTAATCAGAAAAAAAAGATTAAAAAATTACATTTAAAGAGAAACTTGTATTTATGACTGAATGGAAGACAAGACCACTCCAAAAATAAAGATACTGAAGGAAGACAATGTACAATAAAGCAAGCAATTATTCGGACAGTTGGCTCAACCAAATATCTAAGTTAATGAGAATTATCAATAGAAACAGTACATGCACAACCCATGAAAATATACCAAACTTGCAAACTGTGGCATCACTTCACAAGTCATCATGTTTTTGAAAAGGAAAACAGAAAGAAATTCTATTGTCAATTACCTACCACATGTCCTAGCCAAGCATACCGAATTAGTGCCAGCAATCAGTGTTTCGTCTATGAGCTTGTAATCTCCAAGAGGCCAGAAAGGAAGTGAACAAAAATATATCAAGGGGAGATTTAGATTAGACATTAAGAAAAAATTATTTACCATGAGGGTGCTGAGGCCCTGGCACAGGTTGCCCAGAGAAGCTGTGGCTGCCCCATCCCTGGCAGTGCTCAAGGCCAGGCTGGACAGGGCTTGGAGCAACCTGGTCTAGTGGAAGGTGTCCCTGCCCATGGCAGGAGGTTGGAACTGGATGAGCTTTGAGGTCCCTTCCAACCCATACTGTTGGGTTTGATTCTATAAATAACCATGTTGCATGAGGGCAAATGTGCCCAGAGGCGAGGTCAGAAGGTGGTAGGTGAGCTCAGTGGAATGCAGCCAGCCAGGAGAAACTGCGGAGCTGCGAGGTCAGCTCCTTGAAGTAGGAATGGCTGGCTACTCTTTATTTCAATGCCTAGCAAAAGAAGGCACACCATGAAGTATAAGAAAAATAAGATAACTTTAAAGAGAGGACTTGGAACAGAACAGCAATGCACACCAAGACATTGCTGCAAGACAAATCGTGGAGTACTGTTTAAACAATCACTTTGTTCACCAATTATAAAATAAAAACACTCTCATAAGTCACAGAGCTAGAGAACAGAGCAGTTCTTCAAAAGGAGTATGTTAATGTAATAATTTCTGACAGATAATCTAACACAATGCATCATTTTAACAGCAAGTTAGAGAGGAGATCTTGCTATTTGACTTTTGAAATTGATATGAATCTATTAATAAAGAAAAAAAAAACCTTGAATGCCTCTTTCAGAACAGACAAGGTATAGAATCATAGAAAGGTTTGGGTTGGAAGGGACCTCAAAGACCATTTGGTTCCAACCCCCTGCCATGGGCAGGGACAACTTCCACTACACCAGGTTGCTTAAAGCCCCATCCAACCTGACCTTCTTCTTCTAATCAAGTGGCCCTTTGCACTGAGGAAGTCAAGTTAATCCCTCCCTTGAGGTGAGGTCTGCAGTCACAATATGTATCTCCACACCTTTTTATCCAGTCAATAAGGAAAGTACCCTATTTCATTTAGAACAGGTACCCTGGATTTCACAGCTGTATTGTTTTTTACTAAAATAATTTTCTAAATTACTAGGCTGTCAATAACAAAGGCCATTTTCTGTGATAACAGAATTTAAACTAGGTGGGGACACAAATTTCTCCCACTTAGCAAGAATCAGGAACTAATTTCAATAATCCAGATTAAAAAGCATATAAGGATCAATTCTCTCATCCATATACTCCTCTTGCTCTTCATTACATTATCAGTTTTAAAGTTTCTATATTGATATATAAGCACACTTGATTGGAACTCCACCTATTTTCAGTTGCTTCACAGCATCTAAAAAGGCTTAGAATCCACTCTCTGTATAACAAACGTTTATTCAGAAACAGTTAACACATTATTTTCTCCAACCCCTAATGTTTCCTCCCCCTCCCCCCATTTTATTTGAATTTTCTTAATTAAAACACAAGTGTTTGATGGGCAACCTAAAAAAAGGAGAACCATGGCTGTCTAAGGTCCCCTCCCCTACAAACATTTGTTGTTCACACGAAGCACCACAGCAATAATGGTGTTGGTGGCTTCCAAACCAAAGAGAGTACTCTTTGGGGAAAAAAAAAGACAAGTCCTGCCAAGTCCTCAGTTATTTCAATGGTTAAAAGCGATACAGTGAGATAGAGGAATGATTTGCATGAGCTAGATAAGGGCAAAGAGTTAATACAGAACGAGAAAGCAAAAGAAACATATGATTGATCGCAAGAAATTAAATCCGGACCTACAATGGTTACAGAGGTCACTGAAATTCAGCAGAGCTGAACAGAATGGATTAATCTCCCAGCTAGAAGGATCAAGTTCAAACCCCAACTACATTCTGGAAGTGGCTCTCAGCATTCCTCTCTTACAATACAATTTGAACAAATACAAACGAATGGAGCTACTGGGACTTCAAACATCCACGGCAATTACTCTGTAGTAACGAAGGGAAGTGTTGGAAGTGCCACCTAGTGGCCTGCGGCTCCCCACAGATGCTCACTGGCCCAGGGTACACCCTTGCTGCTCTGCATGGGACTTGCTTAAGGCTCCTCTCCCTTGTGTTTCTTAGAGTGCTACCTGCTTTTCTCTTCAAAAACGCTCTCTGAAGTCAGGAAGTGCTGCAAACATCCTCCAAATTCAGGCATGTGAACCCACATAGCTGCCAAACATTGCTCAAATGACATCTCCCAAAGCGAGTTCTCGGGTGCAAGAAAAGACTGCTTCCTACATTTTAGCATCTGAAAATGGCCCCAGCTCCTTTTTTATAGGAGATTGGGTAAGTTAGAAAGCAAGGGAAGGGGGGAAAAAAAAAAAAAAAGAAAAGTCACATCCCTGCATCAGCAGGAAGATGTAATAGAGTCTAATGGGAATGAAACACTTGGATTTCTTCTAGCTCTGAACACAGGATTGATTCTTCTTTTTCAGTCCGGAGAAGAGCAACTGACCCTGACCCTACAGGACTAATATATTCATTGTACAAATGCCAGAGCCTTTCCCCACTCTTCCACCTTGCTGTAGAGTTAAGCCCCGCCTCCAGTAGGGGCAACAGGTAGAGCACTTGTGCATATATCCTTTCTGCCTTACGCCTCTGTTGGCTGCCATACACAGCAGGAGGCTCAGTTTTTCACACTTTTCAGTTACAGCTGCTGAGCAGAAAAATGTCCAACAGTCAGAATGAAGTAGTATGTCACCAAATGCAAGTCAAAGATGCAAAACAGTGCTTCCTGTAGAGCCACACCTGACTTTGTACCCAGTGCAGCAATTTCAGACATAATGTGGTACTCTTGCTTGTTGATAACCGAGGGGAAGCACCTTCTAGTTAAAGGTCAGTCAGAAGAAAAGAGAAGGAGATCACCACTCCTTCCCTTAAAGTCTATGTGCACTTTTAATGGCCACTAGGGGCTTTGGAGTAAAGGATGGAGTTACATGGTATATGCTTGGTAATACATTATTGGCAGAAAGGGGAGGTTATTTTTGGGGAAAAAAAAAAAAAAATCATGGAAGAAAACTCCAACTATGAAAACAGAAAGCACACACACAAGAGGGAACACTACTGTACAGTAAGGTAGTGATCATAGAAAACAAAAAATTTCAAGGCAGGCAAATGCAAGTAACATCTGCACTCCTGCACTTTTCTTTCCCCAACTTAAATGGGTTTCCAGTCCACTTCTTGCTCCCCCTTCTCAGAGTTTGATTTTGAATTCTGTGGGCTGCACAGAGGCAGAGACCCCTGAAGATTTGAAGAGTGCCTTCAAGATCGTGTCAGGGTCCACTTCAGCTGGGGGATTTGAGGAGGCGCTTGCACTTGACCGGCGTGGTTCCCCTTCCTTCTTTACTGAAGGGGTATCACTCAGTCGGCTGGAGGATAAAAACAAAAAAACAATAATTAAAAAACCCCAAAACAATATCCAATATCAGAGATAAAGGTTTTAAAGGGCTGGGAACACTATGGAGTCAAGCTGTATTTCCCTTAGCTCTAATACAGAGTAGCAAAGAGAGGAGAAGGAAAATATTAATGCGACGATAACTTGCCAATGGTTTTCCTCCCCTCAGGTTCCTCTTAAAACAGAGCCTGTAAATGCATTTGGTTCTTCCCCCACCCACAGGACACTTACAGAAGTATAGGCTGGTCTGAGGTGATCACATTCCCATTCATATGAAGATTGCATTTCATTGGTTGACCTAAACAAAAAATATAATCAAAACCAGTCATTTTATCAGAATTGTGGTAAGGCAATATCACACAATATCACAGTCAGAAATATCACACAACAGGGAAAGCAAGAGTTTCACATGCTGGGAAAATGTGAGAAAGAAAAGCTAATATATCTTTAATTGCAAAATCACAGTAACAGAAAAGCCACCGAAATATTCACTACAATGTGAACAATTACACTAATTAAGAAGTCACGTATAGGTACAAACCCCTTGGTACAAAGGTTTTGTACCTAATATGTGGGAGACATAAAAGGATTTCCCATTCTCAGCTGCCTAGTCCTCATCTGATGATCACAACATATCACTCGTCTAGAGAAAGAAGCAGCACCTATTTCCAGCTAAAAATTAAAAGCTAATTTCAGTCTATATTTAGATTGGAGGTGAATCCAGATTAAAAATCCCATTGTTCAAAGTTTATGGAGAAGCCAGTACTAATTGTTTTACAATCAAATTCAATATGGTTCTGGTGACACCTTGAGACTTCTGAAAATACTAGTTTTACTTGTACTTTGCAAACAGCTATCTGTAAGCAGGTAAAGCCTTTGTAAGGACTATCTAACTCTAGGAAGTGAATTAGAAGCAAAAGGAATTTCATTTGGAAATTAGACTAGTGGACTCCAGGAACCT